CAGTCGGTTAAGCGGCCGACTTCGGCTCAGGTCATGATTTCCCGGTCCGTGAGTTCGAGCTCCGCGTCGGGCTCTGTGCTGACAGCTCAGAGCCTGGAGCCTGTTTCAGATTCTGTGTCTCCCTCTCTCTGACCCTCCCCCGTTCATGCTCTGCCTCTCTCTGTCTCAAAAATAAATAAACGTTAAAAAAATTAATTAAAAAAAATAAACTTAAAAAAAAAATCATGTGTAGGGGCACCTAGGGGGTGGCTCAGTCAGATAAGCTTCCAAATTTGGCTCAGGTCATGATCTCATGATCCATGAGTTCAGGCCCCATGTCAGGCTCGTACTTACAGTTCAGTCTCTGTCTCTCTCTCTCCCTCCCCCCAGAGAGTCACACTCTGTCTCTCTATCGAACATAAATAAACATTAAATTAAAAAAACAATCATGTATACATGGAACAGATACACTGTTTTTAACCTGTGGTGGAAATAAGGACAGCTTTGGTAGATTTAACAAAGAAGAGAATCAGGCAACTACTCACCGAGTCTGGGAAACGCAAAGATGCAATCCAGGACTCTCAGGATTCCAGTTCTTCTCGTCTCTTATCCTATATGATGTTGGCCAGCTGGAGAAGTTCAAAGCCACTCTAGCAGTCCTTGCACCATGGTTAAAATGTGTCTTCATTTGTACTCCTGGAGACCAGAGCATTCTTTCCTGGCTCTTGCCATGGACCAGAGGGTTAGCCGAGTTTCTGGATTTGCCTCTGGTGGAGCTCCCTACCAGCTGGAGAATGTTCTCAGGCCCTTCAGCCACTGTTAACTGTTGCCTCACCCCACCTGCCCACTGTCCTGGAGCCTGACCACGAACCCAGCTACAACCTCGTTGCCTTTTTTTGGTCTCTGGCTTGACCACCTGCTGGCTCTCAGCACCTGCCCCTCTCCCACGTGGTCCCAGCAAACCATGGAAACCCTCCGGCCTGATGCAACCTCAATGCAGCCCTCTTCCCAGCCCTGGATGGGCACCTACAGGTGCAGCCCCACCCTCTGTGGAGATCTGTCCTGGAGCCCCATCCCCAGTCCTGAAAAGGTCTCAATCCTCCTCCCTCATCTGGGGTTTGAAGTTTTCAACTCTCACCCAAGCCCTGTAGGAAAGGTCAGCACTTGAAACTGTTGGTGAAGCATTAGTAGAAACAGAATGTCCTGCTTTGATAAATTGTTAAGGTGTGTCTGTGTGGGTGGGCCCATTTGATCTGGTCTTACAGATAAACTTTTTGTTATGGTTTCCATATTCCTAACTAACACATTTAATGCAATCAATATGCTGAAAGTTACTCCTGCATTCTAAGGAATTTTTACTAATAGAAGAATCTTGTCAGGCTCGGGGGAATGTTAGGTAAATGTTTAGTTCTACTATTTTTGTCCCATAATTAACCTTCCCGTAGCTCTGGGCACCGGAGTTGTGCATATTCCCACTCGCTCCCTAGACCCCGCCAACACACATTCTTTAAATCATCTCTGGATTCTGGGCCTATGGGACCAGGGTTCTGATTGTGAATTTTGTCTTTAGACAGTTCTTCAAGGTCTGCTGCTGGGAGCCGTTTCAGTGTAAGTCTTTGATACATATTTCCTTTCTCGCGTTTGCTTTTCTTTGTATGTATGTGAACAATAATCACAGTCTCTGGTTTTAGTTTCTGTAATGCAGAGGAAGTGCTGTGGGCAACAGCAGCGACTGCTCTGGTGACATTATCGCTCACTTTATTTGCTCTTCAAACAAAAGTATGTATCACCGAAAAAGATTTCTGTCACAAGGGAGTGTGTAGATGTGTTCCTTTGGCCCTTGCTGACCCATTCTTATCTCTCCTCCTTCCTGCTCACTGCTGTCCTGTGGGCCTCACCTCCGTAGCTTCTTCGCCTTCTGGCTTCTGACTTTCCTAGTAACCACGTTAAAAAAAAAAAAAAAAAAAGCAAAAAAAAGAAACAGGTGAATTTAATTTTAATCATATATTTTATTTAACCCAGTATATGCAAGGTATTAACATTTCAGTAAACAATATAACGCAAATATTGAGACATTTTACTTTCTTTTTTGAGCTAAAATTCAAATTCAGTGTGTATTTTATTATACTTACAGCATACTTTACTTCAGACTAGCCACACTTTGAATGCTTACCTAGCCATAAGTATGGAATGCATAGCTCTAGACAAACTCTTTACTCTCTTTGTGACTGTCAATTAATCAATTTTTTTTTTTTTTTTGGAGACACCTGGGTGGCTCGATGATCGACTTGACTCAGTCATGATCTCATGGTGAGTTCAAGCACCATGGTCAGGCTCTGTGTAAGCTCAGAGCCTGGAGCCTGCTTCGGATTCTGTGTCTCCCTCTCTCTCTGACCCTCCCTTGTTCATTCTCTGTCTCTGTCTCAAAAATAAACAAACATTTTAAAAAAATTTTTTTAAACAATTTTTTGTAAAATGTTTATTTCTGAGAGAGAGAAAGCAGGGGAGTGGCAGAGTAAGAGGAAGACACAGAATCTGAAGCAGGCTCCAGGCTCCAAGCTGTCAGCACAGAGCCCAACGCGGGACTCGAACCCACAAACTGTGAGATCATGACCTGAGCCGAAGTCAGATGCTTAACTGACTGAGCCACCCAGGAGCCCCTCTAGACATACATGTTTTAAACAGCCATCAGAATCCTCTGGAGGGTTTGTTAAAACACAGATTCTGGACACCCTGGAGTTGCTACTTCAGAAAGTCTGGGACACAGCCCGATAATTTGCATTTCCCAGATAGTGCTGGTTTGAGAACCACATGTGGAAGCCTAGTGCTTCTAATTATTCTCTTGGTGTGCAAGAAGTAAGGAGTGAGGGGGGACATACAGGAGTTAGGAAAAAGCTCTTACAAGAAAGTATCATGGATTCAAGGGTCTTCTTTTGCTGTATAATATCATTCTGTTCAGGTCAGAAGATGAATATTCCCCTTTGTTTAAAAAAATTCCTCAGCTTCCCCAGGCTGTTTTCATCCCTGATTTATGAAGGCAAAACCAAAAAGCGTATTAATAAATTTCAAAATTACAAAAGAATCAGCAATAATTTTTGAAAGCTTAGTGTATATATTTTTATTAAAATATATGCATACAAACATGGAAAGGCGCCCAGTTCATTGCTGTATTTTATGCACATGCTTTCAGAAATATGACCATACTGTACATACAAATGTACATTCTATTCCTATATATACAAAAATAGAATAGTATAATGAGCCCTCATGTATCCACGGCTCTTGTTATTTCATCCATACTCCTACCTTCTTCTCCCTCATGAAGCAAATTCCAGTCAACACCACACTTTTTAACGTAGCATTTTTCAGTGATAGGGGCAAATGGATGTCTGTGGTTCTCAGAATTGTCTAGGGTAGATTATTAGCAAATGGGCCAATTTCTATCTATGGGGCATAAGGTGCATCTCTAAACCTCCTGAAATTCCTTCCAGATGCTAAGTGAGCTGTTTTTGTGTTATATTTCCTCAGTGGGATTTCACCATGCTAAATGGGATGCTGTTCGTTTTTCTCTTCGTACTGTTCATCTATGGAATTTTCTTCCTCTTCATACGCTCATATGTAAGTGGGATCTCGTTTGGGAACCTCAGAGAATTGTTAGAGGGCAAAGTGCTGGTTGTGTTGGCCTAGATCTTCTGTGAAGCAGACACTCGGTTGGGTGAACTGGGTGAGGACTTGAACGGGAGAAGTGTCTGTGAGAGAAAAGGGGCTGGGGAGCCTCTGAGGGCTGGAAGACGTGCCCCACCACAGTAGCACATCTGACACCAGGTGAAGGGGAGGGAAGGTGGGCAGTGGGAACATTCTAGACATGAGGTCGAGGAAGGTTCAGCAAGGCTGTAGGGGGAGTTGGGGGGGGGGGTTCCTTGAGCTAAAGTTGACTGTAGTCCTGTGTCTCCCAGGGAGTACTCTGCTGCTCCCCAGTGACTGACAAGTGACAGGCGTGGCCCAGAAACTCACTGCAGTGGGCTGCACAGCACAGCGGCCAGGCACCTCCCAGTAGCTGGAGGTCTGTGAGGCCTGTCCTTGCGGCCGCCCAGCGTGGTGTGGTTGGGGTCCTGTTGGAAGTGTGGGGCATGAAAATGGAGCTACTTCTCTAGACTATAGCTGTCTTTCCCTAAGAGGGTCTTGGGGTGAACCTACCCACAGGGCTGGTCAGACTTCTCCTATACCTGGGTGCTGCTTGTTTGAAGTAATGAAAGTGGAGTGATGGGCTTTTCAGACTTTCCCAGTGGCAGCGTAGAGTAATTCCAGCTTGCTTGCTTGCTTGCCTTCCTTCCTTTCTTCCTTATATATATTCACTGACTTCTTACCAGATATCAGATATAAGCCTGTGGTTTTCTCGTAGGCATTACATTTAATTCTCATGACCTTTATGAAAAGTACATGTGTCATCTATTGTTTAGCTAAAGACACATGCTCAGAGAAATTAATTCACCCAGGTCTACACAAGGAGTAAGTGGTAGGGGTGGGATGAAAGCCAGATCTGTGGGACGCCAGTGCCATGCTCTTCCCAGCGCACAATCTGTGGATGGAGGCTAGAGGGGGTGTGGGCCCGGCTTGTCATTGGCCCCTGTGGGGAGACCCTATGGGCAGCCAGCTCCACTGAGGATTGACCTAGAGCCTGTGACCTTTTGACTAAAGCCCTAAGGCCAACTTGGCCCAACTGCTGAATCCAAGAGTTTCTTTGGCAACAAGTAGACTTGTTAAGTGATCTTCAGACATATAACTAAGAGTTAAGCCTGAATTGGTTTAGCTTTATGAATGACTATGTAGACTTATAGTTAGGGAGATTTTGTTTTATTTTATTTTTATTTATTTTTGTAGTATCTATATTTTAGAGGTAAACTCGAAGATATAACAAAGATGTGCCTTAAAAGGCCACACAGCTCTCCATTTATTATTATGGCTGGTAGCCATAATAATACAAATTGGTAGGAATAATATTGGTAGGAATAATACAAATATTTATTAGGTTGGTTCCATAGGTCTTTACAATACCATTTAGGTGCAGTTAAGAAACAGTGTTTCCTACTAGATAGACGAACCTTTGTTCCCCCTGTAAACTTCCTTTCACAAATATTTACAATATTTAATCTTACACACATGTTTAAATGGAAGGGAAGACTTTTGACAGAGCCTTGTTGTAAGTATACAGGCTTGTTTGACTTCGGCAATTTTGAATTCTTCAGACTCCAGTAATCAGGTATTTTCTTACTATTAGCTCATTCCGGAAATACTGTCCCTCCCACACTATGTCACTGACTCCTGGTTTATGTCATCGGCCAAGGATCTTCCCTGGTTAGCAGAATGCTCTATTTGTCTAGGATGAGCTTTCTTGTCCTGAAGAGTGAATGACATTATTTTTCTCAGATGTTATATACCACTTCTTTATCCTCTCCCTCTATAGAGCCAACCCCTTTGGCATTCACATCGGTCCCATATTCTGATCAGGGCTGTTTTGGTTGCAAGGAACAGACACTACCCAGACTAACTCGAGGCAAAGACCCAGGGAAGCTCATGGAACTCCTAGGTGGGAAGAAGCAGCAGGATTCACAGAAATGGAAATCCCACATTCCTCTCTTGGGCTGAGTTGATCAGCCTTCTCTGTATAGTAATAGCCCCAACAGTAGCTGATGATGCAACAGCCTCTGGGAATTGATTTCTGACTGGCCTGGTGCATCTGTTTGATCTTACTTTCTGGTCAGTCAAGAGAGTCACTGCTGTTGGAGTAGACATCTTCCACCTCTTGTCAGTTAGCCCTAGCTAGGGTATATGAGGGTCACGATTTTCACAGAGCCACCCATTCCAAGAGTGAGTATAGGGGCAGACGCCCTACAAGGGCAATGCAATGGTGCATAAAGTGAACCGTATCTAGTATGTTCTACTTGTCCTACCATGCGTGAGATGTTTAGCACTTATCTAGCAAAACTGATTCGGCAAGGGTAGTTTTCATGTGTTTGCTGAATGGAATTGAGTAGATGCTGTTGACCACTATGTTCAAAAAGATGAAATTCCCCACAGATGTGACTTTCCTTAATACTGGGTCCTTATCTGACAGCAGTAAACTAAGTGAGCCCTTTCATTATTCCAGACCTTTTTCTTAACATACAATTGTTTCTTCTCTTTGCAGTGGTTGCACCTATTGTATGCTGGACTTGGAACTGTACTCTTCTCACTTGTGAGTCTAATTTCTCCCTCTCTTTGACAAAGAATATGGTCTGTGCATTGACAAGTGCTAGGCCCAGAGTCAACTAGAGTCAGTATTTCATTTTTCCCTCCTATGCCTCCCCCTCTTCCTTTCCCTCCTTCTCCTTCTTCTTTTTCTTTTTTAAAAAAATTTGTTAAATGTTTATTTTTGACAGAGAGAGAGAGACAGAGCATGAGTGTGGGAGGGGCAGAGAGAGGGAGACACAGAATCCAAAGCAGGCTCCAGGCTCCAGGCTCCGGGCTCCAAGGTCTCAGCACAGAGCCTGATGCAGGGGTCAAACTCATGGACTGCAAGATCATGACCTGAGCCAAAGTCAGACACTCAACCGAGCCACCCAGGCGCCCCTATTTTTCTTTATAAAGACAATTTTTAGAGCACTTTTAAGTTCACAGCAAAAGGGAGAGGAAGGCACAGACATTTCCCACATATCCCTTGCCCCCACACATGCATGGCCTCCCCCCCGATCAACATCACTCACTAGGGTGGTACTTTGTTACGTTGCCGAACGTATATTGACGCGTTATAATCACCTAAAGTTCACATTAGACTTTACTCTTGGTGTTGTACAGTCAGTCTATGGGTCTAGATAAATATATATTGACAGGTTCCATCATTATGATATCATACAGAGTGTTTAAAAGCCCTAAAAGCCCTTTGTGTTCCACCTTTTGATTCCTCCCCTACCTCCAACTCCTGGCAACCACCAATCTTTTTCCTGTTGCCAAATTTTACCTTTTCCAGAATGTCATATAGTTGCACACCGTATATAGCCTTTTCAGAATGGCTTATTTCACTTAGTGATGTGCACTTAAGGTTCTTCTGGGTCTTTTCATGGCCTGATAGTTCATTTCTTTTTAGTACTGAATAACATTCCATTGTCTAGATGTGCCACAGTTTATGTATCCATCCACCTATTGAAGGACATCTTGTTTGCTCCCAAGTTTTGGCAATTATGAATAAAGCTGCTGTAAACATCCCTGTGCATGTTTTTCTGTGGAGTTTTCAACTCCAATGGGTAGATAGCGAGGAGTGTGATTACTGGATCAGATGGTAAAAAGTATGTTTAGTTTTTAAGAAACCGCCAAACTGTCTTCAAAAGTAGTTGTACCATTTTGCATTCCCACAAGCAGTGAATAAGAATTTGTTACTTAACATCCTCAGCAGCATTTGATGTTGTAAGTGTTCCCGAATTTGGCCATTCTAATAGTGGTATCTTATTGTTGTTTCAATTTCCGTTTCCCTTATGACATATGATGAGGAGTATCTATTAATGTGTTTATTTGCCATCCATGTATCTTCTTTGGTGAGTTATTGCCTGTGTTTTTCAGCCCAGAGAACAAGTAATGATCTTTTTAAATCAGATTGTTTGCTTATTGTTGAGTTTTAAGTGTGTGTGTGTGTGTGTGTGTGTGTATTTGGGGCAACAGTCCTTTATCAGATGCTTCTTTTTTTTTATTTAAAAAAAAATTTTTTTTTTCAACGTTTATTTATTTTTGGGACAGAGAGAGACAGAGCATGAACGGGGGAGGGGCAGAGAGAGAGGGAGACACAGAATCGGAAACAGGCTCCAGGCTCTGAGCCATCAGCCCAGAGCCTGATGCGGGGCTCGAACTCACAGACCGCGAGATCGTGACCTGGCTGAAGTCGGACGCTTAACCGACTGCGCCACCCAGGCGCCCCTTTCAGATGCTTCTTTTGGAAATATCTTCTCCCATCTATGGCTTGTTTTCTCATTCTCTTGACATTGTCTTTCACAGAGCAGAAGTTTTTAATTTTAATGAACTTCAGCTTATGCATTATTTCTTTCATGGATTATACCTTTGGGGTCATATCTAAAAAGTCACCACCATACCTTAGGTAAAAGATCCTCTGTTATCTTCTAAGAGCTTTATAGTTTTGTGTTTTACACTTAGGTCAATGATAAAACAAATTTTTTTGAAGGATGTAAGGTCTTTGTCTAAGTTTTTTGGGTTTTTTTTGTTTTTTTGTTTTTTGTTTTTTGTTTTTTTTGCATATGGATGTCCAGTTTTTCCAACACCATTTGTTGAAGAGATTATCTTTGCTCCATTGTATTGCCTTTGCTCCTTTGTCAAAGATCACTTGACTATATTTACATGAATATATTTCTGGGCTCTCTAGTCTGTTCTATTGATCTATTGTTTCTTCTTTCATCAATACCATACTGTCTTACTCCATAGTAAGTCTTGAAGTCAGACAGAATCAGTCCTCCAATGTTGTTTTTTTCCTTTAATGTTGTGTTGGCCATTCACACCTACCCCCCACCCTCTCTCTTTCTTTTTAATGTAATCATACTATATAGAAGGTTCTTCTACCTTTGCTTTTTCACTCAAAAATAATGGTATTCACATATTAGCAGTCATGGATTGAGCTTATTCTTTTTTTTAAGTTTATTTTTTTTGAGAGAGAGAGAGAGATTGCAGGAGGGGCAGAGGGAGAGAGGGAAAGAGAGAATCCCAAGCAGGCTCCATGCTGTCAGCACAGAGCCTGATGTGGGGCTCAAACTCACAAACCATGAGATCATAACCTGACTAAAACCAAGAGTTGGACACTTAACTGACTGAGCCACCCAGGCACCCCAAGTTCATCCTTTCTTAAAGGCGCATGGTATTCCATTTTATGCTTTTATCATGTCACATATTTTAGGTTTTCCTTTAATTATTTTTGGCATTTCCAAACATACCCAGAAGTACCAAGAATGGAGTAATAAACTCCACATACTATCACCAGCTTAAAAATATCCACATTTTGCTTCATCACGTTCCTTTTCATTAGAATTATGTCCTATTTTCAAATGTCAGAAAAATTTAGACCAGGAAGTTATGTATGTATAATTCAGTTTTCTTATTTCTTCTCCTAATACCGAAAGGAACTAACTTGTGCTTATTTTCCTTTACTCTTATGCTCTCAGCCTTTACAATTGATGCCTGCTGTTCTATTTCTTGTGTCCTGTTTCAGGCTTAGTTTGTTTCCATGCAAAAGTACATTGGTGTTTCTGTTCCCAGTTTGGAGGCAGAGCAAAAATTCTTGTAGCCTCAGACAGGTCTACCCAACACTAAACAGATAGAGCAAGAGGGATATTGACATTTTTTCAGCGGGGTAGGGAGGGGATGCTTAACCACCAGAGTTGTAGGGAGTGAGGCAGGGTGTTACTCCCAGATGCTCCTGGGAATCTGAATCCCAACTGGGGCTTCCCTGTGGGCTGGCTGTGTCTTGGGTTGTGTCCTGAACCCCATTCTCCCTGAGGGGGAGGGGGACAGGTGGATCCCAGCTCATCTCACTCTCACTTTCCTGTCTGCCTTCAAAAACATAATTTCACCTGGAAGGTGTACTCTTAACCACCAAGGCATGTCTGTGAAACGATTAGAAGTTATTATCCCTCTTATGAGAAAGAAATAAGGTAAATTCAGGAGTTCTTGGAGGGGATGAAGAGAGAAAAGCACTTCTCTGTAGAAGTCAGGACCTCAGGGTTATAAGTGAAGTCTGGAAGCTCAGCTGCTGTGCAGCCTGCTTTTTAGGGTGACCAACTGTCCTTGGTTTGCCTGGGACCGAGGGGTTTCTAAGGAAACCTCCTCTAATGTCCTCATGCTGCCCAGGGCTGCTCACCCAGCCACAAACACAAGCGTGAGCGAGCTCTCTGGCTCTTTTCCTGCAGTTTTAGGAGCTCCTCATTCTACCTATTGCAGCTGAGCTACACTTTTTATTTGGGGGAAATATTTAACTATATACAAATCCCACCTTCCCCTCATTCTATGTTTTGGAAATACTAACATCATTATAAAGCCATTCCAATGGCAAGGTTTGAAAAATGCTATCATCCAAAGCTCCAAGAATTTCAGCATTATTGCTGCACATCAATCTAAAGGTCAGGAACCATCTTTATTTTCATTCTTGGTTCACCAAGAACATGTGGGAAAATCACAAATACAGGGCAGTTTGTAGTTTATCTCTGTGTCCAATTGTCCTACCTCATTGGCTAAAGGAACAAAGTTTTCTGGATTTGGAAAGCAAAAGAAGGCTCACAGACTTGATCCTGCTGGCCTCAGGAGGATGAAGCACTTGTAATAGAGTACAAACTCTGGGACATAGTGAATGGTTGAGGCTGTAAAAATAACCTAACTTAGCCATAAATCGACTTTATGCAGTATATTTTACTGATGCTAAAATATTTTCTCCAGGTAATTTAGGATACTTATTTGATAGAAATATACCATTTCTGTAGCTAATTCTTCCTTCTTTTCTTTAAGTACTTGGTGATGGATGTGCAGCTCATGGTGGGAGGGCGCCACCATCACTCTGACCTGCACCCCGAGGAGTATGTTTTTGCTGCCCTGAACATCTACTTGGACATAATCAACCTTTTCCTTTTTATTTTGGAACTGATTGGACTGGCACGGTAGTCATATGGCCAAACTGGTTCATGTTGAAAAAAGGGAAGGAGGGATGCTTCTGAAATGTTGCCAGGCTCAGACATGAGAAGGTTACCACTTCATAAACCTTTTGTTAACAAAAATATTTAAAGATACTTACTTTTTGTCAAGTTAAATCAAGCATTCAATAGATGGTAGCTGTAGCTGTGATATTTTTGGTTCTATTGTCACATTGCAAAACTATCTGGGGGACATTTCTAATTTTTATAAATTCTAATTTTTATAAATTTGATGAGTATCAAAATTACATGCTTACAAACATTTGCAAGATGCCCATTACAGTGTTGAAGTTTTCCAGGCAGTATTTCAAGCAGTAAACAACATCTCTCTACATGAATAAATTTGATTACAGAAACCTATATGTACCCATTCTCTTCTCTTGGACATTCTGTGGATATTTTTGAATATTTTGGCATCTGACCTTTTTTTTTTTTTTTTTTTTTTTTTTTTGAGTAAGATAAACTAAAGAATTCTGCCTTTTCCCTGTATTCCAGAGTCAGACTGGAGAGAATAGTAGTATCTATCTAGTAGGGGTCAGAGGAAATTAAGAGAGTTAATGTGCAAAAAGGGCTCAGGATAGAGTATCAGCTATATTGTCACTGTCCCATCTATACTCCCGGGCTTAACTCAGCAACCAACCCCACTGATTGTCTGGAACAACTAAAAAAATAATCATGATAAAACACACATAACAAAATTTACCATCTTAACTATTCTTGTACGGTTCAGTAGTGTTAAGTACGTTCACAGTATTGTGCAACCCATCTACAACAAATGTTTCATCTTGCAAAAGTGAAGCTCCATACCCACTGCAGTAAGAAGTCTCATAGCATTTTCCGTCACTTATTTATTTATACATATCTTATATAACTGGTTTGATTACGTCCCTGAAGGTCATAGATTAGACAGGTCTTTATATCCCTTCTGGAGGCTCTCACCTTGTTGGTGTGAGATGCTTGATGAGAAAATTTTCACTGAGATGTAAAAGTTCACAGTTTCAGAGCCATCCAAATGAACCTGTGGCTACATCCTTGCCTCACTTGTTTCTAATTTCAGCCAGTCTCTGGTGCTCGCCCCAGCAGGAAGCATGTAATTCACGTTTGCAGGATGAACAAAGGCATGAAGCAGGCCCACACCTGGTGTGCTTCAGGTGGCTCAGGGAGGGAGCTGGAAAGAAAGATTTATGTAGAGGAATGGTTATGCCAGGTGATTAAGGACCTCAACTTTCAGGCTCAGGATTTCAGACCTTTATCTTGTAGGCATAAGATCTGGATTGCAGTATCATGGTGAAGGTAGTGCTTTAGGAGAATTAGTCTGCATTAAGGTGGGTGGGTTACAGTAGAGAAGGGAGGTGTTAGAGAGGAAGGTTGTATGAGAGCTAACTCAATACACGGAAGGCACGAAAGGACAGTTGATAAATGGGGTAGAATGAGTCAATCATATGTGACCATGATAATGGCCAAAAGGTTTGATGGAGGTTGAGGTATGATTGGATGATTCTTCAGGGCAGGTTTTTACTGTGGGTAATTGTCACTTACTAAAGTAGAGCCTTCTGAAGAAAGAAAGAAGTGGCTTGGGGAGTTGTGAGGTGATGTGATAAAAGTAGGTTTGGATATTTTGATTACTTGAAAAGAGAGGTAATGTTAATCTGGCAGCGTTTCAGGAGATGAAGCTTGGGGCTAGAGGTAATTGGGGGCCATCACAAGCAAGAACTGAGGCTGAGAGAACAGATGAAATAGGAATGACATAAATAGGGGAGTCCAAAGACCAAGTTTTGGAAATGCCATAATTAGGATATGGAAGGAAGAAAAAGAATGTGGGACATGAAAACAGAGCAGTGAAAGCATAACATTATGGAGGCCAGACAAGCCTTTCAGGAAGGTGTTGATGAAGTGTAGCTATAATTCACTTAGGGCTGTGGTGTTCTAGGCCCTTGAAAATACACATTGTTTCATTTAACCTACACTCAAAGGTCAAGGCACAAAAAAGCAATAACAAACCCAACAAATCTGACAACTACTGGATCACTGATCTGGAGAAGCAAGGAGAACAGAGTCCAGACTTCATGGAGGCAAAAATGGACATTGTGGAAGGAGAGGCCAGACCCTGAGAGAAGTCTGGTTGCTTCATCTCTGGAAGGAGAGAAACAGCAGGGGCAGGCAAAGGTTGTACATTTTTTTTTTTTACTTTTTGGTTTTTCACTTTTCAGGACAGGGGAAATTTGGGGCATATTTGAAGGCAGAAGGAAGTGAAGGTACTAGAAATGGGGGAAAAAAAATCAAAATAGTAGGGATATGAGGAGGGATGGCCTTGGACAGGCCCAGGGCCCTTTTTTCCAAAACTGGAGAAAAGCATTGGAACACTTACCTGTGGCAGCCTCTTTTGAGATGGAGCGGGGAGGTGTGGAGCAGAGGAAGCAGGGTCTGCAGAGCCCATGCTGGGGGAATCAGGGCTTAGAGAAGAATGGAAGAGGTTTGATCTGGCTGCCAGGGACTCTGCATTGGGAGGCAGCCAAAGAGAACCGGGAAAACTCCTTCCTCCTTAATCGAAAGTATTAGAGAAAATAAGGCTGTGAATCAGGCAAATGAACTTCTCAAAATTGATACTCCAAAGAGTTCCAGTTTGTGTAATGTTAGAACAACAGTGGATTACAATAATGTGATGACTGGATCATGATAGCATAAATCTCTTACCATCAGTCTGAAATGGATCAATTGGCCAGAGATTTAGGCAAGTGTTGTCTGCACAGTCTGTTTTTGATGCTATGGTATTGCAAATTAGACAAATAGAATAAAGTAGAATCAGATTGAAAAATCCGGGCTGGGGGAACAAAAAGCTTACTGGGGAAGGAAGTTTGATTCCATTCACTGAGGAGGTTAGTCTTGGTTCTTCAGAGTCCCACAGTTAATCATAAAGAAGGCTAACATGGAATTGAAGTGAACCTGACCGGGCAAAACAATTTGCAAATCCCACCTCTGTTTTCTGTTGGGGTCAGGCATCTGTCTCACAGATGAATTTACAGATCTCAAGTAATACATTTGAATTTAAGTACAAGCACTATAGTCATACACACCTGACTTTTTGGTTACCTATTGTTTCAGATTAGCCCAATCTCCACTACTTAAGTAGAGTTTCTTATGTGTTTATAACCACTTAATACTACTGGCAAAGTCCTGAAGATGAGCATAACCTCTGAAATATGGGCAAGTAGAAGACAAAGGGACTTTTTCAAAGCCACCCAGCAAAAAATCTGGGAGGGCCCTCTAAAGCTCCTGGGTCGGCATACATTAACAAACATTGCCACGTGTACAACTGCCAAAGGCTTTGGTACCCAAGTCGTGGTGAATTAATTTCATAAAAGAAGAAAATTCAGCTGGGAAGCTTGAGGTTTTGCGTACTCTCCTGGCATCAAGAAAACCTTCCTGCATTTAATAGGACATGCTGGCCAATTTCGGTAAGTTTCTGCTGTCCTAGCACTACATTAGGTATTTCTGTTGTTTTAGCAATGTTCACAGCCACACACAGGCTATTGTGTGAGTCTACTGTGTATGCCATTACATAGCGTTGACTTGATTAAAAGAAATTCCAATATGTCTATGACAATCTTTTTTTTTTTTTAAATGACAATCTTTTGACTTTTGCATTTAGTAAGGACTCTGAGGAAGCCATACCTCTTGGCATCAGTCTATCCAGTGAGATAGACTATCCACGGAGATAATTTATTCACAGTATTAGAAATCTGTCTTTTGAGAGGAGTCCCCAGTTTGGAAATCTGTCAGGAGTGGTCTCAAATGTGTGACACACTTGAAAATCAACTCAGGATGTACTCAACAGGCAATGGAAGCTTACAGGAAAAGAGAGGAGAATCTATAGAATTCTATAATTTTAACTTCTTTTCTTATATTATCCCAAATGGGTTCCCTCATCTAGCTCTAGGTTTCTAGGTTGTGATGAGCACAAATACTTATCTACATACAAGTGGACCTTGCTGAAACTACTCATGTTAAAGGCTGTTGCACAGTCAACTTTGTTCATTTTTTAAAAATTTAGTTTGAGAGAGGAGCATGAGCGGGGTGGGGGGGGGGG